CAATCAACAGTCAATCAACACTTTTGTTAGATTACTATAAGGTCCACATCCAAACTTGGTAAAATATGTACTTATTGCTTATTTCCATTTGCGTTTCAGATATTATTAATTAGTTCTGTTGCCTTAAACAATGTATTTTACTTTTCACCTTGTCCGTATCATTGAAAGTGAAAATGTATATTAAAGGAAATGTGTGTTGTCGTCGTCGTTGTTGTTGTCGTTGTCGTTGTTGTTGTCGTCGTCGTTGTTGTTGTTGTTGTCGTTGTTGTTGTTGTCGTCGTTGTTGTTGTTGTTGTCGTCGTCGTTGTTGTTGTCGTTGTCGTTGTTGTTGTCGTTGTCGTTGTTGTTGTCGTTGTCGTTGTCGTTGTCGTTGTCGTTGTTGTTTTGAATAACTGTTAATGTGTACATGATAACTTGGGTAATTGTAATCCAAAATTATTAAACTATCCTGACAAAAAAACAAGATGTAAGTTAAAGCGGGGGGGGGGGGGTCGTCGCTTGCGCACGCGTGGCAATTGAGTCCCAAGCGACGACGATAACAACAAACGCTAAGAACGCAAATGCTCATGGGCAGACGATTGTTTGTAATAAATGACACGCAATGGCCATCTGACGCATGCGCAGGTGACGACTCCCCCGCTTTAATTAATATAAGCACTTCTATGAATAACCCTTCGAGTACCAAACTTTTGATCGAGATCTGAAGCCAGTAGAAAATTATGACGTCAGTACAAAAATACGTAATAGACAAAATGATACATCCACATTTTGGAAGAAAAAAACAGCACTCAAAGAATGGTGATTTAATTTAATTTAATTTAATTTAATTTAATTTAATTTAATTTAATTTAATTTAATTTAATTTAATTTAATTTAATTTAATTTGGCTTGGTTTGGTTTGATTTAATTTAATTTAATTTAATTTAATTTAATTTAATTTAATTTAATTTAATTTAATTTAATTTAATTTAATTTAATTTAATTTAATTATGTTGAATTATTTTTAGTCGGCAAACAAAGTATATAAAATATGTATATAACTTTGGAAATATAACATGTATGTGTATGTGTTATTCTTCTAGAATAAAAAAACATTCTAATGCACAATTTCACTCGAAAATAGTAGTAGTTATTTTATTATATTATATTATGTCCATGCTTACTGTCTTTACACACACACACACGCGCGGGCAATGTGAAATATACGACCGCTGTATAAAAACATTCTGTCTGTATGTTTAAATGAAGATAAACGCGTTGCGCGATTGGTATGAACATTTATGTAGCTTCCACGCAATTTGCTAAATGAAATGTTAAACTATGTTAAACACCTTCTTCCAACACTCATCTCGTTGACAGTCAATATTAACAAATAACAAACTATATCATCATTGTCACAATTTTTCGTTGTTCTTGTTAATGGCTTCTGTTAGGAATGTGTGTTACAATCAGTTGACCTTGTTACGTGTGATGTTAACTGCCACACGGCTATAACACATTACTAAAAGTACGAGTGACTTACCTGCTGGCTTGGTTACACATACATAATAACATAATAACAACAACCACGTATAACGCATATTTGTTCTTTCCTAGTAGTTTGAAATACGCCCGACATTGTCTGCATATTGGTAAGCCTATGGGATTCATGTAGTTTCAGTGTATTCAACAACCACCACACTACACAATATAATAGAAAATAAATACCAAGCTATCATACCAACCTGTTACATGCTTGTGTTGTCACAAATCAACGAAGTATATTGAGGATAAAGCAATATTGTCATGACAACATGTGCACAGACGTGCATAATGCTTTGATAAATTATGCTGCATAATTTAGTATATTATTTTAACTTACAGATGGCATGGTTACCTTCCAGCTGTTAAACCTGACTAAATCTCATATGCAGTATAATATTAATTACCATCCACCAAAACATAAATCTGTTGTGTTATTTTGAATATTAAACGATAATCACTCGTTGCAAACAGCTGCACTCGTCTATCCAATTTCACACGCTCCTTTCAGAGCACGTTTTTTTTTTCAAGTTGGCAAAACAGTTTAGTAAATAATAATCAAAATGTATGAAATATTTATATGAAATAATAATATTATAATAGTACACCAATGAAAGGTCAAATATTGCCGTATATTTATTTTGGTTGTAATCACTGTAACTGTAGATATAGATGCGGACGTACGCACTGACGCACGCACACAGGTCAATCCATTCGAACTACGTCTAAAAGGGAACTAATAATGATTAAGATAGAGGTACTTACTCCCCAGGGCCTCCACAATGACAGTAACACTGTTGTGTGTTGTTTCTATGGCTACCATCCCAGAAGAGACTATAGGGCAGCGATTTCTTCATAACATTTTGGCATTGGGTCCTTTCTTTGAGGCGCCACCAATCTTGACAGAGGTAGCAAACACACAGTCTGCAATGCCATTGTACATCAGGTTTGAGTACATCATCACCTATCACTGGTCTGTGGCATGTCTGGTGATAACCTATAGTTAAACATAGAGAGGCCATGAAAAACTTTGCCATAAATTAAAGAAATCGAATTATTTTAGATGTAATATGCAAAATCACAATAAATGCATGCTTAAAGCACATTTTAATTTGGTTTCAATGAAGGCTCTGTTTTATTGGTGTGGCCAAATGACAAACCAAATTGTGTTCAGGACGCTCATTTGTGGTTTACTAGAACATACGTTTTAATTGGCTCCTGATCAAAAAGGCACAAACACATTTTTTAGTCTTTTGTTCAGACTATAAATACACCGGCGACTAGAGTCTAGTATCAATTCCAAAATTACCAAAAACCAAAAAACACATTGAGCGTGAAATGCATCGAATGACGTTTTATTGCTTAAAATATACCATTTGCATCATATACTTGTCTGATAATGTATTTGTATTTCTCGTAATATAACAAAATACTGTATCCTCATTGTATTGAAGTTTTCATCTTCTGTACTCAAGTAATTTTTGTCGCATCGTATTTTTCGTGTTTTTGAGAATAATATAGTGGAATTGATCATTAGCAAATCGGTCAATAATTTGAGAAACCATGCAAAGAATAAAGTAGTTTCTACAGCCAATAAAATCATCTCCATTTGATTAAAATAAAGTGTAGGGATGTTTCGTAATAAATGAGTTATTTTCTCCGTAAAATGAATTCAGGTAAGATTTTTCTAAGGCTTCTCATCCCCAGTCACGGCCCCAATCCTAACTCTGCCTCTCTAATCCCCCTCCCCCCCCCACTAAATTAGGAGAAAAGAAATTGCTTGTGAATTGGTGAGTGTTCTCTGTAGTATAAATAATCATCCTGAATGTTGGCAGAATAGTAATTTATTTGGTTGTTTCTCCAAACAGAACAATCTTTACTCGTCATTTAAGGTAGAGATGCAGTTTATTTGTGCATTTCAATCAAAAATAGTTTTTTTCGTTTTTTATATAGATTATTATCTAAAGAACATTCTGTGAAAATTTGACCAATGATTTCTTATTGGAACACCGTTAA